ATCCAAGGCATCATAATGATATAGATATCCTGAATACAAATTATAGCAGTTGAAAACTTTATGATTATTAGCAGTTATATAAAGCAGTTATAAAGTTATATAAAGCAGTTGACACTTTATGATTATTAATGTTTGGGGTCTTTAAAATTATGACTCTTTCTTATTTTTGGCTACCATGTCTCACCTTTTACTGAAAAACAGCTAAGTAATTCTACAAAAGTGGTGCTGATACACTGAAATTCAAATGACTTCTTTCTGAGTAGAAAATTGAGGAGTATCAGATTTCTCAAATAGTCTGGGCTATCACATATTTGAAATCAGATTTTTTCACATAAGTTCACTAAAAGAATTATGAAATATCAGCAAAGTATATGCTGTATCTTATACCTTTGCTCTATCTGAGGAAGACTTTGCTGAATCTGGCTCAGGGAATTGAATAATCCTTGGTTTTGGTTTTCTTGAATATCCACGTGAATGTTAATTCGAGAGATTGCAAGATAAAATGTGGAGCCTGAGTCAAAATAAAATGATGCAGTCTGGAATTTGATAATTGGTGTTTGTTACCTATCTTAATATCATCTTTTAGCCTCTTTTCTCAAATGTGTTAATAATGTAAAGGGATGTAAAGCTGTTAATAATTCATCTCTGCCTCTTTGTTCTTGCACATGCATACCTAACCAGCAGAACAGGGCAGAACTTTCAGGAGATTTTCTCTCTTGACACTCACCTATGCCTCTGGAATTACCTCATGAATTCAGAATGGGAGGCTGTAACCAAGTCTTCCTTTCCTAACAAATATTTTCATTTAGGCTCTACCCTGTGACAGCCTCTATAGTGCATTAGTTGGTTCTGTTTGTAACCAACAAACCTGAGGATTTCTATGCTAAATGTGCAGAAATAACAGAAAAACATGGCTTGCCCTTTCTTGAATTTTATCCAGCCCTTGTAACTCAATAATGCAAACAGAAGTAGGAGGGATATCAAGCCTAATGAATAATTTATAAAGTATCAAATCTATCCGCATGCCAAACAGGAAAATCATCAAAAAGGAACATGAGTAAAGCCTGATGCATGCACCAGAGAACTGTGAAGAGTTGACATAGTTCAAAAATACTCATATGCAACAATGAACTGTGGTGGGGCAGATTTCTTGAAGGTATTGGTAAACCAGGTTCCAAACAAACTTATAAAAATGTATTAAACAATAAGTTATATAAAAAAAACCTGTGAATTTCAAAATCCTTGATCAATTTAAGTTTTTGAGGGGGAATTGGAATAATATTTTTCGTGGTTTTCATTTTGCTTTTGTTTTAGACCACATAACAGCTTTTTTCAGTAAGATATTAGCCAGTTTCCCCAAATGGCTTTATAGTGTTTTTTGTATATGGACCAAAAAAACAGAATATCTCTTTCATTGGTCTCCATCCCTTCTAATTATTTCCTGTATAATTAATAATGCATACTTATGTATTTTTGCATAGAAAGTATTTATCATCTTTTAAGAAGGTTATCTTAAAAACATTAAATCAGAATAAGTTAAAATTGATCACTGAAGATCAAACATCGTAAGGGACTTTCAGTTTCCTATTAAAAACAATTTCAACAATATCCATAGTTACTAAAACCAGTGAATACATTTCAGGCCATTCAAAGCCATCTGAAATTAAAAGTGTTATTCTAGATAGAGACTATGAGGAATTGGTAATTTAGTCATGTTAATTCTTGAGGTTGGAGAGGGAATTCAGCACTTCTTTGCTGTGAATGATATTTCAGATACTAAGGGCTGACTCCTTATTTATGTTGTGCAGAGCCAGAGCCTTGCAGAGACTTTCTACTAGATTATGTAAATTGTTGTAGAAACCATCAGAAAGATCAATAGAACAAATTTTCTCATTATACATTGTATATCTTAATTAGTGTATGACCCAGCAGCCATTAATATCCTGTGATAAATCATGCAGTCATTGAAACTTAAGCATATAGAAGCTTGTGGCATTTTTTCTGGAAAGAAAATAATATATTTATTAGGAAAATAAAACTTATTGACCCATGGCACAGGAAATAGTGGTTTAATGGCATGATAATAAATAATGCTTTTAAAGACCTTCTCCATATCTCCCTGAAGCTGCTGACAGTCATTCCAGGCCTGGGTGCACTGCCAGAGCTATGCTAATGAGCAAAAAGTGGTGTTAGTTGTTGTGTTCACCTCTGTGCCTATCTACCCAAAACAAAAACTGTATTACCAGTCACAATCTCATTCATATTCTCCAGAAGGAGCAGATAGGTGTAAGTAGTGTGCTGAATGGCTTCTGCTCAGTTTATTTTGTGTGTGATTATACTGTTATTAGAGTTTATAGCCTAGTTCTCATGAATGGCTTCCTTTCTATTGTTCTTTTTAAGCTGCTAATATAGATGTATTCAAAAAGAAACAGTCTGGGCCTCGGTGCAATCCTGGTTATTCCTGAAAAGTTATGGTAGAACTGAGTCCAGGTTTAGCAGCTCAAGGTTTTACCAAAGGAATTCTGCTGTAGATCAGTTTGGAAAAAATTGTCTTCACATCCTTCATTTTACTGTCTCAACCAGAAGTTTTGGGCATCCTCACCATATTTAAAAAACAAAACCAAAAAAAGGAATTTTAAAATATGTTGAGATTTTTACTTCAGTTAAAAACCTCTCAAGTGTTGTTATACAATCATTTGGTGCTTTTAGAAATACTTGGGAAAGTTTCAGGCATTTCAAATTTTGTTATTTGGTGTTCAAGTCAGTATAAATTTTGCTTCTTCATGTTTCTGAAAGGTTTGCCACATGCTGTTTGGTCTAAAGGTTCTGAAGGGCTTTGTTGAGAAAACTGGTGTTAGCCTTAAGAATGTGATGTGCTTACCTATGAGGTGGTGTTACATTAACATGTATTTGTAGCTCTCAGATTTTGCAGAAAAAAAGTATCTGAGTTATTTCTCATGGTCTTCTGCTGCACAGCTAAAATGAAATCTTAACCCATATTTCTGTGAATGTTAGTTTAGACTTAGAAAAATTACCCTGTAGTTAAGATGTGAAGATTGTGATATCAGATGAATTCTAGCTAAATGTTCCTATGATGGTTTTCAGAAGATAATTCATGTTAGCTAAAGGGCCATTCTGTCATTCTGCCTGTAGAACATTTGTTCAGTTTTAAATGACTACCTCTGTCAGCATTTGCTGTCACAGTAGTATATGAAGATGATGTTAGAAATTCCCTTCTTCAGCTCCTGCCTTCAGAATCTCTTTGAACCACCATCCTTTTGCTTTACAGAATGCACTTAAGGAGTTGAACTTATCTTTGGTGTGAAATAAAATAATATTACCAGTTTAAATTGAATTTTCTCTGTTGTTTTGAAATAAATCCAGATAAATTGAGATAATTCTCTGTTTATGAAGGCTGTCCAAGATATGTGTCAATCAAGAGGGATATATTTGGTAGGGCACAGCCTTTTTACTGAATGTCACTGAAATGACTGGAAGTTTTGGCAAAGATATGGCAGCCTTGTTCAGTATCTTGATTTCTTTTTGCTATTTTACCTAAACCACTCATAAAACAAACTGAAATGAAAACATTCTGTGAAGATTTTGCAAGTCTTAAGGAACGTATCTGAAAGATGGATTTTCAGATGGAATTTCTATGGGAAGGATAGCCTGGACAGAGACAAAAAGAATCCATCATTGAACATGTGCTAACCTTGTAGGCTCATAAAATACTGGTGAATTTAACATGTGCACGTCTAACTAATGATACTTAAGTTGGAATTTTAACATATATCCATCTCAAAAAAATTAAATTCTCTCCTTTCTGAACATTTCAAATACTTTTATCCTGTCAGGTCCCAAAGGACCTGTCAGGTGGTCTAGTCTGAAATCATAGACAATACTGGTATAGATTTTGAGGTTCTTCTTGTGTGCAACAATACACAGTGTTCTCTGTGGCTGCTAAATGTGCTTTGCTAAATGTGGGTTACAGTCAGCTTAAAGGTTCCAGTAAGTGATAGGCCAGATCATGGTTTGGTCTCTTAGGAAATGATTCATTTTGTAAAATCAAAAATAGGCAGCTGCTCAAAGCTGATGGCTTCTTTTATATTTATCGGTGAAGATATAAATCTCCCATTTTGTCTAAGGTATATTATTTTTCAGGAAGAATCTTGGAGCTGCCTATATCTTTCTTTATTTCCTAGACAGAAAAATGATTGATGTCAGGAAATAGCACCCCCAAGGCTTTTGGCATACAGTGAGAGAACAAATTGTGGAACATTATCTCATTCCCTGTAGCTTTTCACATTTTTATTTGTGTTCATTAAGCTGTCACATGGTTTTGAAAGGGTCATTTTACTTTCCAGTAAGGAAATAATTTCCACCTTTGATGAAAATTATGGTAAAGCCTAGATTAAGAACTTGAAAAAGGTTATCATTTTTAGCATTTTCTTTACAGAGACATAAATATTTACATCTATTTTTTTTTTTTTTCAGAGAATAGGCTATTTTCATGTTCCTTTTCTAATACGCAATTTTAGGTAAAACTCTTGAGTCAGTGAACAATTATTTTGGCTCATAACTGAGATACCATTATTATATACAGCAATAATTAATTATTTTTAATTAAATAAGTTGTTAAAAAAAGTTGTTTCATTGTCTGAAGTGTTTTGGTTGAGTTTTTGGTTCCATTGAAATCAGTGGTCAATTATAGTACCTGTTCCTTCAACACTCTTGGCCATACACATACAGATACATATACATTTATACATTTACATACACACATACATAGTTTTATTGCATTGTATTTTGTGGTTATATGTATAAGGATGTGTAGGTATTTCAACAACATATTACACAAATACAGACTATTTTTTATCTATATGAAATGTTGATATCTATATAGTGCAAAGTCTGTGATACTGATTCATGACATTGTTGTAATTAAAATACTTGAGATAAAGTTTTATATTATTCCATACAATTTTTTTTTTTCTTTTTAGCTTCCCCATGGGTAGATAAAAGTCGAACTCCTAACAAAATAGATCTGTATGATGTACGCAGAAGACCATGGTAAGCTTTCTTTTTAAAGGTTCAGTAGATATATATATTTACATCGCTTACTTTCCAGATATTACTGTAAAAATATTTTTTCTGTATGTCTGTAATGGTACTCATTTTAGATATTGTTATTTTCTTTTTTAAACTTGTTAGTTTTTCTAAATAAAAAAATTTCAAATTATACTCCTTGTTATGCAAAATCTACTGTAGTTGCTGTACAATTGGATTACATAGACTTTTCATAGGAGGCTAACTGCCAAATAGGTGTAAGACAGTTAAAAACTGATTTTGTGTCAAAATCATTTATAATCCTGAATATTAGACTGAACCATTCTTCTAGATTTTTGCAAATATTTAAAAATATGCCTCAGTGGTTTAAACCAGCAATAAAATCACTAGATGTGTAAAAGATGGGAGCCAGGTGGAATTACTTCTCATGTTTTTTTAATACAAGCCTCTCAAGACATAAAGCACATTGATACTTGGATCTAGTAGGACGTATTTTCTTTCTAAAGGACTAAGTATTTCTGCCTAAGCTGGACTGAATAATAATTCATCAGTCATCAAGATCTGTAGCTATGAAACAGCATTCCTGTTCTTCAGTTGCATGAAAACAGTGAATTTTGATTAGTGCATCTATGTCCAGCCTACCCCAATGTGGTTTAGACTTAGATTTACCTTGAAGACACAGCAAGAGAGGAAATAACACACACAGATTAAAAAACCACACATGGGTTTTGTACTAGCTACAACAGGAGGATTTCATTGGCTCAGCTGCTTTGTGTTTAGAGATCCCAGTGTCTTGTGTCACACACAAAAAAATGTTTATGCCATTTTGTGTAAAACATATCATTTATTTATTTCAGGTATATCCAAGGAGCAGCATCTCCCAAGGACATGCTTATTTTAGTGGACGCGTGAGTGTTTAATGTCTGAATATTGACATTAGTGGGGTAAAAGATCTTTGCTACATTGAACAAATCTCTGTATGCTGAAAAACAGAGAGGCAATTCAGGGGTCTTGTATGCAAGCTTCAAAAAACTTGGTATGAGCAAAATAAATGCATAGCAGAAGTATCAAAAAAAACTTCAAAAACCCAAACTAAACATGAAAGCTATTTAAACTGGAGGCAAGGAAATTTTTATTTATATCACTTCAATTTTTTTTGTTTTCAACTTATTAATTACTGCAGCAATCAAGTGAATATTTCTCCTGTATGTGCCAAGATTTGTTGCAAAGCAGAAACCTAAAAACATATGACTAGAAGTATTGCAATAGATGTGACAATGCTTGAATGCACCTGACAGATAAGAATTATGTGGACTTTGTGTGTTTTGCAATACAGATTTTAAAAAATGCCAAGTTCAGTTACTACAAAAAAATTGCTAGAAAGCAAGCAAAGAAATGAATAAAAACTTGCTGTCTGCCTCAGCAAGGCTTCTGTGGTGTAGGCAAAGTTGAGGGACTGAAGAGAGCATTGAACCTGATGTGTCAGATTGCTTTATGCTGAAAAGCTTCTCAGGCACAGAATTTGCATTTAATGCTTTCACACGTGGTGAAGTGCTTTCATATCAGCAGTGAGTTTTATCAACATTTGTTATTTCTTCACTTCAGCTTAGGTTTTGCCTTGAATCAAAGAAGCTGTCATTGGCATCTCTGGAAATCCAGAGCTGTAAATCTGAGTGTAGGAGTATAAAATGTTTAGATAATGCATTGGTTGAAGGTGTTAAACTCAGATCTCTTGAAAAGGAGGTGAGTAAAGGATGTAGCATTATGATGTCATCTGAGGCACAGGACTGGGACTTTGTATGCCAATTTTGGACTTCAGTAATTATGAAAAGTTTAATAACACTAATGATGAGTTGAACAATTCAGGAATAAATTTTATTTATTTATTATAAAATTTAAAATTTTAGTGTTTAGGTGGGTGCTCTGTATTTTCTTTTTACGTTACATAATAGTTGATGAATTAAACTTTTCTATTGTGAATTTTTTTAGGAGTGGGAGTGTCAGTGGGTTGACATTGAAGCTGATCCGCACGTCGGTCATTGAGATGCTGGAGACCTTGTCTGATGATGACTTTGTGAATGTAGTTTCAGTGAGTATCTGTTCTTTCCACAAAATTTGCATTGTCAACAAAGCCAAAAGCAAACTATTTTTAATACCAGATGAGAGATACTTGAATGTTAAGCTGCAAAGAGACGTAAAGTATATTGTATTTGCTTTCTTATATAAAAAAAATGAATGTCCTAGATATGATATTACATATACATTTGAGTGAAGGGCAAAAGTAATTTCAATAAACTCCTGCAGAGTCCTGCAGAGAAATTCTCCTTTCCAATATTATTCTACTGTCTGTATAAAACCTCTCCCATTAGATTGGTGTATGCAAATTCTCTTGAAATAATTGCTGGTTCCCAGATTTTCTACACAGAAGATATTTGTATTGCTTATGTTGTTTGATGCATGACAGTAGATGTGGAGCCATTTATCTGATTTACCCAATAAAATTTTCTGAAAAGTTTTATAGTTCTTTACCACTTGATGGGTGGCAAATTTTTTTTTCTCATAATAAATAATAAAATAGAGGGAAGAATCTATGAAGAAAGGATGGGAAATTTTCCATTTTCAGGAGAATACCTTGGATGTCATGTTCAAGCCTTGGGAAAAGCTTTTTAATTTTTTTTTTTTAATTAAGTTATTCAACTGTAGAGTTTTGATTCTATGGATTTAAGATGAGAACACTGGCATATTTTTAATAACAAGAGACAGCCTCAATGATGAGTAACTAGAATGATTTTGGAGATAATTTTCAGCTTGCAGATTCATGTTGTAGCCAGCCTGAAGGAGAAAGACTTGAAATCTAACTGAAAGAAATATTTTTAAAACTACTTGTTGCTTCATTGCTTTCTGACAGTCTAGCTAGATCTTTCTGCAAGGAACAGATAAGTGTTTATTCTCAATGGTATTTCGTTTGTTAAAGTTTTTAATAGTGGATAAGACCATTTTCCTTGGTCTAAGTTGCAGTAACTAAAAAAAACCAAAAAAACAAACTGGATTTTTTAAAAATTATGGTTATTAAAGGAAATAAGCTTCTCTGTAATGGTATTGGGGAGTTGAAATCTTCTTAGTTTCACAAATAAAAAAAAAAAAAAAAGAAAAGCTTGTAATCTAAACTGATGGAAATTGATTACTATGTTCAGTGGAGTTGTGCCAGCTTTCCCTGCTGGAAAATCTGGACCTCTACTACCTCTTGTTTTACACATATTTCCAAACACTTTTGTTACATTTTCTCCATGGCCAGAAAGTCATCTTAATGCTAAGCCTCCCTTAGGCTGTGAGTATTTTGTTAGCTACGGGTCACTATTATTCTAATGAGGCCTCAAGGTTGGGATTTGTGTCAGAAAAGGACCAGAAACCCCCAGTATTTTGTACAGTATATTTCCCCAGGGGTTTGTTTCTTACAATATGTAAGGGCCATTTTTTCCCTTTGAATGAACTTTAGAGGTTCACATCATAAATTCGATTGCAGAACCAAAAAGGGCATTTTGGTCATGTTGTTTTCATCATTAGTGGAGGGCAGCAATCATAGAAATGTGCATTATAGAACATGGCATCTCTAAATCTTTCATAAACTGCTATTTGGTGTTGTTCCCTTATAAATTAAAATCATCCTTATTAAAACTTTTAAGTATTATAATTACTTTGATATAACCTATATTTTTATGCATTCAGATGTTTTAGGAATGGAATTGTGGTGAAGGATTTATAACATATATGCATTTTATTTCTCTAATAGACAGGAAATAAGCTATAGATAGGAAACAAATGGTTGTACTGCTATAAGGCATTCTGTACGTGAGAGAAGTGAACACAAGTTTGGTCTTTGAAGATTGTTTTTTTAAAGATTTCTTTTGTTTTTAAAGATTTGGCAGAATCAGTTTAACAGTTGTACTAGATATTTTTTAAAGTCTTTTTCAACATAAACAATTCTACGATTCTATCATCTTGATTGACAGAATATTCCATAATGGAGAAGGACTATCTAAAGTCCAACTCCAGTGCTTTCTTAGCAAACCCAAAAGGCAAAAAAACCAACTTAAACATTTTGTTCTAGGTGAAATAAATGCAGATTTATTCAATATTTTTTGAAAATTTATTCAATATATTGCATGTTTTTGCTTAACAACATTTTCTCCTGAAGCATCTCAGTATTAGACATGATAGGCTAATCAAAAAGTGAAAAAAGCTAGGTGAAAATGTTAAGTTAATACAGCATTAGCATATGGTTACATGAACACTAACACTATTTAGAAGTTATCCACAATTTTTCTTTCCCTCATGGATCTTTTGGCTTTAAATGTGACTTTTTTTTTATGGCTTGTTAGCTTTAATAACCATGGAGTCTTTGGTCTGGGGTTTTGAGTTAACTAGAGAGCTGTTTCAGTGCTAACCTCTGCCAAGATGTTGTCCCACAAAGCCCATGTGCATGATGATTCATACCCACAACTGAAAGACATGGATTTAAGCTCATGTCAATCACTCCTTAAAAGTGACAGGATGATTTCATGAACTGTGCCTTGTATATGAGGAAATCCTAGAGAAAAAAAGCTTAAAAGTAGATGTGCTAAAAACATTAGTTCTGCTGAATAAATGTAGTTCCTGTGTGGTGCTGTGAGGTCCCCAGGATGAGGTGAGAGATGAGAATTTGACTCCAAGTTCTCAGAAGGCTGATTTATTATTATATTATATTATATTATATTATATTATATTATATTATATTATATTATATTATATTATATTATATTATAAAACTATACTATAGAAAGAGAAAGGATACAGTCAGAAGGCTGAAACAAGAATGATAATAAAAACCTGTGACAAACTCAGAGAGACTGACACAGCTGGCTGTGATTGCTCATTAAATTAAAACAATTCACATACTGGGTAAACAATTCTCCAAATCACATTCCAAAGCAGAAAAACATAGAGAAGTTGAGGCTTCTCATCTTCCCAGGAGAAGAAATCCTGGCGAAGGGATTTTTCATAAAATATCACGGTGACATTCCTGCATTTATTTCCAGGGAAAGAAAGGTTGAATGAACTGTTGAATTGTAAAAAGATTGCCAGGGGTTAACATATCATGGTTTCCTTTGGGATTTGCATGTTCCTTATCTGAAGTGCTGTGCTTTGTTGCAGGGAGAAAACCTGCTGTTTGCAAGGGCTTAAATGTATGAGTGATACAGCTGTTTTCCCACTAATCCGGTTAGAGGCTTTGATAGCAGCGAGCAGTAGATGATGGGGGCAGCAATTCCATCCCAGCACGTCGTGATTTAGTGGTTTGGTTTCAGATGCTGACACAGAGAGTGTAATTTGTTTGTGATTGTGGGTAGCGTGCAGGAGAAATGGATTTCAAATCTGCAGAGGCGCAAGAAACCACACAAAGGAGAAGCCTCCCTAACTGCAACAGATGTGTTAAAGGTCAGGAGCTGCTGTACTTTTTAAATTCACTTAGCCTTTGTAAAAATCCAAACTAGTATTTACTGCTTAGGAACTGGAAATTAAATGTCAAGAGCATATGAGATAGAACAGAATCATATTCTGGGAAAATTGAAAGCTCATCTCCTACTCTTGTGCAGTTCTGCACATTGAGTAAACTCAGAGAAAAGGTGATTTCTACATGAGTTGATCTCATAGAATAAAGTGTGCATCCAGCCTATGAAGTTATTGTTGGGGATAAAAAATATAATCTGTGGATGATGCATCTCTTTTCCCACTGATTTTTAATAGAAGTTTTTCATGTAATTCCACAGCTCATTGTTTTTGCAAACCTGCTTACTTTTACTTTGTCTCTCTTACTCCTAAGCTTGTAAAATCTTTACACCTTGCTAATTAAAATATTTAAATATGCTAACAGAGGAAAAAGAAAGTTTTTTAAAAGTGTTTTCAATATGTCAAAGGGCTCCTTTCCCTTTCTATAACATGACCCATCCTGTATTCTGCAGCTCATATTGCACCTGTATTCTCTTAAATACAGGGAGATGTTCCTTCCTTCTGGGAACTACTTTCTTAAGTTTATTATAAAATATAAATAACATGCCGTGGGGGGAAACTAGAGCTTGAAGTTCTGTTGGAGGGAAGAGGATGATAGATTCTACAACCAGGGAGCCTGTCGTGATTATACAATCTTTGCTAGAAATCTTAGCTTTGTAGGAGTGCACTTCTATTTGGTTGGCAAAAACTTGAAGTTTTATATAAAAATAACTTAAACTTTGTTTCCTTTATTATTGCAATGTAACATTTTTAGTGGCCATGAAATTAAATTGTGTATCCACGTGGTATAACGGGGTTTTTTTTCTGTGTTTTTGAATTTGAAACCAGAAAAGTTCAGTAGTGTTTAGTTTTTTCCAAACATCACTACTTGAGGGAGAAATTAAACATGATCGTGGTATGAGTGGAACTGAAGTATTTCTGTTGGTAGATCTAGAGGAAGTGAGAAAGACTCCTGTATGAAGGGTTCTGCCAATGTACTTTTGTTCTTTATTTCTCATTTTCCTTAATGGACAATACTAAGGAGAAAATATTAAGATGCCTGCCATCTTTTTCATTATTTGACAAATAAAAAACTAGATAGAGAATCAGATTCTCTCCATAATAAATATGTCTGCATAAGAGCCTCTCTTAATGATTTAATCCTGAAGCGTTTCAGGTAATGAATCACAATAGTTGCAATTAAGTGTGCAAGATCCTATCATCATAGCTCTGTGAGGCAGTAAACAAATACCTGTAATTAGTTATTTTTTTGTCAAGGGACATGGTTTGGTGTGTTTTCCTAGTCACTGAAAAGTGGTAGAAAGGCAAGTTTAGGTCTGAGTGTTGAGCTTCCTGATTCTCTTAACAGCAATCCATCTCACTGACCTTTCAGTTTCTCTTAAATTGAATGGTTCATTTTCAGGAAAAAGGGAGCAATGATAGCTGCAGATAAACACATCTTGGTAGCAATGTTCCTTAATGGAAAATCATTAGCATTCCTTAATGGTAGGTCATTATCTTGCATCTTCCATATTCAAGGGACAAGTGAATTAAAAAGTTTGGGGT